GCCTCCCCGCCTGCGAGGGGTCACCAAGACCCCCACTGCCCCTTCCTCTTCCTCCCCGTGTGTCCGGCTGTGGGAGCGCCAGGAGCGCCCTCCAGGGGCCGCCGGGCTCTCCCAGGACCGGTACCGGGCTCCCAGCCCAGATATTTCATTTGTACTTTCCAGGGGGAGGAGGGGCGCCCACACCCTCCGTCCTACCTCCTGGCCCCCGCCTCACAGGTGGGCCTGCGGCTCAGGGCCCCTCCTGCCCCGGCCCCGCCATCCTCAGCACCCGGCCCCTCCAGCCCCAGACAGCGCCTGGCTGGCACGGAGTCCCCCCCAAGAGAGCCCTCGTTCCCAGAACCCCCAGGAAGACACCAGGCAACGTGTGTGCGTCCTTTATTTCGAGGATGGAGCACAGACGTCACCCCGAATGGGGGGGACAAGAACATGGATACAGTCTGGCCATCGGCTCAGAGGGCGCGGCCACCAAGTTTAAGGCTCCGTGTGTACCCACCGTGCAGGCGCTCCCCCCCACACACACACACTCCCACACGCACACGCAGGCACACTCCCACACGCACACTCCCACACTCCCACACACGCACACACACGCACAGGCACGCACGAGCACACACTCCCACACGCACGCACACACTCACACACGCACACACACACACACTCCCACACGCACACTCCCACACACGCACACACGCACACACACGCACAGGCACGCACGAGCACACACTCCCAAACGCACACGCACACACATGCACACTCCCATATGCACGCACACGCACTCCCACACGCACGCGCGCGCACGCACACACATGGGGCACAGACACAGGAACAGGGGCTGGGCGCTGCCTAAAACATTGCAATCGTGTCTGTTTAAAAAGTGTGGAGCCCTGGCCGGTGCGGCTCAGTGGACGGAGCATCAGCGCCCGGACTGAAGGGTCCTGGGTTCGATTCCAGACGGAGCCTGCAGCCCTGGTCGGGGTGCGCGCGGGAGGCGACCAGTCCATGTGGCTCTCTCACATCCATGTTTCTCTCTCTCTCTCCTCCCCCGCCCCCGACTCTCGCTAAAATCAATGGAAAAATATGAGGATTAACAACAAAAAGCGCAGAGCGGGAAGCACGCATCAGCCGAGCCCAACAGCCCCCGTGTCCGTGTCCCCGTGTCCCCGTGTCCCCGTGGGGGCAGCTGAGCACACCAGCCTCTCCATGGCACCGCGGTCACGTGTCCCCACCGCCTGCAGGACCGGCTGCCCCTGCACTTCTCACGGAGCGTGTGTCCAAACAGCACACGGGCAGCGTGAACCCCACAGGCTGAGTCAGGGGGCCCCAGGGTCCCGGCCGAGGCCGCTCCAGACGACAGGGGCAGGGTGTCAGGAGCCACAGCCTGTGGCTCAGGCCCGAGGAGGCCCTGGGGGCCCCAGCTGGCTCCTCCCCCTGCAGCCCCGCTGGGATGGGACTGGCTGGCCCTGGCAGGCCCTCCTAACCCCCCACGCCAGCCCCCC